GAAAGAGGGACTCTTTCCTGCCTTGATAAATGATAGTATAGTGCAGTGTTTCTCAACCTTTTTTTGCTCATGGCCCCCTTCTGAGCCTTGTTTACCTCTGTGGCCCCCCTCATAGCCGCTGTTAATTGGTAAAAAGGTACATAATTTACCTAATGTTCCATTTTTTCCATGTGGCCCCCTAGAGGTAGGGCGTGGCCCCTGGGGAGCCATATGGCCCACGGTTGAGAACCACTGAAGTAGTTAGGACACTTACCTGCTAAGTAGCAGAACTGGTTTAAGCCCTGCTCTATCTGTTTTGGAACGAGGACTAGAATCAGCATGTCCCACAGCCCAGTGCCTAGCCACTAGGTTATAGACATAGCCTTTCTCAATTTCTTCTGTTTGAACTGTTCCATTTTGCATATGTTAAATAGCTCGATGGTGTGTGATCCATGTTCACAGCTCTGTCTGAGGAAAACAAAATAGTTTTGGCTTTTCCAACTCAGGCTACATCTATAATACGGGGTTTTTACACAAAAACAGCTGTTTTTGTGCAAAAACCCATGGAGTGTCCATAATTCAAGCATGTTTTTGCACAAGGAAATTTATAGTAAATCAAAAGAACACGGGTTTTTGCGGTGTAGATATTCCTCTTTCTACCAGGAATAACTCCTTTTTGTACAAGAGTTCTTGCAACAGGGAGTTTTTCTGCAAAAAGTACCAATTGAGAAAAGCACAGGTGCTCTGGTGGCTATTCTGTGAATAGCAATCAGAGCTTTCTTTTGAGAGAGCATCCATGCAGTTTGGATGCCCTCTTGTGCAAAGGCATATCTTGTGCAAGATCTCTTCCACAAAAAGCTTCTTGCTCAAGAAGCCTGCAGTGAGACATAGCCTCAAAGTTTACTCAGGAAGCTTCTAACCACCCCTGATTATGAAGCACAGTCCAGTTAGTGCTCTCTTTAGCTTTAATAACAATCATGGATAAATTCAATACAAGGCTGTCTAGATTTACAAAGTAAAGGTGGAATTATATGAAATCTGTGGGTGCTCTGTGTATATATTGGGTTATATTTGGGTCTCATTTACTCTGGAAGCACTCCTGTGTAACTTCATTGACTTAAGTGGAGTTCCTCACTATTTACATTGATGGACTCAGAGCAGAATTTGGAGGAACTTGTATTCCATAAAGTGTTTGTGATCTGCATTTACTTTTGTGAATAAAAAGAATGTGTATTGATTATTTGTATTTGGACTGTTGACACTGGACATTGATGAAATCACTTAAAACTTTGAGGTTCTAGAAATAGCTGAGCTGAGGTCTGTGCTGTCCGTTTGCTCGAAGTCTAACCCTTAATGTGCACTAAAATAAGAAAATAGAAGCTCCTCTCAGGTTTAATACAGAGAAGTGTGGTTGGATTCAAGACTATTGAGCCAACATGTGATATTCAAAGGCCGCAGTTTGAATTAGACTTGGATTTATAATGTGTGGGCCACACTTCTTTAACGTAAGATTAGTGGTCAGGAACATGGTACGATGAGGTAGGTCATAATTTGGCCACTCCAATTTAAAAAGCATACAAGCATATCTATTTGATATACTTACACCATTTTAAAATCTTATGTCAAAGTGAAATTACTTTTAAAAAGATGGAAGATATAATGGCATATGGGGATTTGGTAAATTATTTAGACTATGAAAATCTAGAATGCAATGATACAGTGTTGACATTTGAATTCCCATTGACTATCAGTTGGTCTTGTCTTTTATACTAAATACCTCTCTCGAGTATAAAGCCTTTTACAATACCAAAAAAATTCTCTACAAGAATATTGAAACTTTGTCATAACTTCAAAACTCATTCCAGTTATAGCTTTGAGGATTTATTTTCCAATTTACAGCTTTAAATATTTAGTGTTTATCAGGCTGTGTCTTACAGTTGACCCAGCCTTGTTATTAAAAAAACCCTTAAAAATTAACAAATCGTCTAGTAGCACCTTAAAGACTAACAAAACATGTAGATGGTATCATGAGCTTTCGTGGGCACAACCCACTTCTTCAGATGACGTCCAGATCCAAAAATAAATAAGGGAAGGAGGAAGGGGGAAGAAGAAAAAAAATGGAGAGGAGGAAGAAAAAAGAGTCAGTGAGTAGATAAGCTTATTAACTCAGCTATCCCTCTGATGCTTATCTACTCACTGTCTCCTTTTCCTTCCTCCTGTCCATTTTTTTCTTCTTCTCCCCCTCTCTCCTTCTCTTATTTATTCTTGGATCTGGACTTCCAACCCTCTGGTCACCTGAAGAAGTGGATTGTGCCCACAAAAGCTCATGATACCATCAACATGTTTTGTTGGTCTTTAAATTGCTACTAAACTATTTGTTGTTTTTTTAGTTTTTGCTGTTACAGACTAACTTGGCTACCTTTCAGAAGCTTGTTATTAAGAACTGATTTCCAATAGCTAAACTGACTAATTTAAAATTGGGCACCTTTTTGTTTAGGACTAATTCAACTGATTTAAAGACAGCAACTTTAAAATACTATGTTTTGAAGTGATTTCTAAATATGTACCAGGACTTGATTTTTCCTGTACAGTGTTTCTAACAAAATATAATAGTTCTGTGTTTTTTGCTTTATCCCTTGCTTCTTTCATTTGATGTAGTGATATCACATTAAGGTGAGAGAACTTGTTTTCTGTTATTTATGTCTATTTTATACAATATGTGTATGTGTATACATATGTGTGTATTTTCCTGCAGTTTAAGTGCATGGTAACTGCATGCTATGCTACATCACGGAGATGTTACTAGTTAAAGTCTTTGGAAAGACTGACCCAACCATGCACCCATTAGTGATATGAGTAAGTCTTGCGCATGCTCCCATGAAGGATTATGTGTTGCAGGAAATGCCTGCACATATCAAACAGCCTATACTGATGACGTAGATATGTCTCCATTATGTAGTAACAAGCACAACACCAAAAGGTTTCAAACTTGGCTGCTTAAAGTTATGCCCCTTGATTCATATGTGGTTGTGTAAATAATAGTGTACGTGTGTACACAAAAACAAACATTCCTCTGGAGTGTATAATGCTTGGCATGAATAGATGTTAATGTGTGCATATATAAATAATTAAATTATAGCAGTTAGTGTGACCTATGTGGGAAAGGAGCACTGTATTTCACATTCCTGTCTTTAAATATTTAGCTAATCTGCCGTGATTTGCATTGTATTGATGTGCATAAAAATTAGAATGTACATATAATTCTTTCAGCGTAGGGCTGAAAATTTACATCACTAGCATTGTTAGACCTCTGTTTGTAGTTTGCACAAGTTCTGTTTTCTTTAGTACTTCACTGGAACATATCTGTAAAAGTGCTTCTTATCACAGTAGCATGGACTGTTTCCTTTGTGACAAGCCACAAAGACTTTTATTTATCTTTCTATTGTATTGGACTAAGAGCTTCTATAGGAGAAATGAAAATCTGCTTTTTATCTCCGTATGTGGGACTGATACAGTAAATATAATTTAAATTGTAATTGGATGATGGGTCAGGTGAATTGTGTGAGCCAATTACAGTGTGGACTTAAACATGCTTATGTATATGGGCATTATACATTGTATAAAGATAAAGGCAATTTATGGAAAGGGTAGTTAAAGTCTTGTCTGAAATGAAAATGTTATCCAGGTTAATCAGAATACAAGTTTTTAGTAATGGTATCATAAGGGTAATGGTATCAGAAAACAGCAGATAGAACTATAGTATTTACATCATTAATTGGCTTAATAGAAATCAAGTAAATGGAATAGAAAGTTGTCATACAATGTATTCTACTAAGAAAGTAAGTGCCTTGTTATGTGAATGGTGCCAATGCACTAGGAATATTAGATATTGGGTAATTGAGTAGTCGTGTAACCACATGAAATCTTAGCTGTTACACAACTATTTGATAGTTCGCTCCCTGCTGCACTCCAGGGGAGCCCCTTGCCACCCTGCGCAGGGAGATGGCAGGGGGAGCCATTCCACAAGGGGAGCCAGTTTAAAAATCAGCTTCCCGCACAGATTGGCTGCCTGCTACCCACACTGCTGTCTTTGATACAGAGGCAGCAGTTTGGGGTGGCAGCAGCCCGTCTGAGGGGAAAGCCGAGCTCCCCATGGACAGAGAGAGGCTATTTTGTGGGATGCAGGGCAGCCTCTGTCCATGGGGAACTCAGACCCCCTGAGAAGAGGGGCTGCTGCCATGATTTTGCGGTCCAGGTTCGCTGAGGATAGAGGCTGTTCCGTAGGGTGTGGACATGCCTCTGTCTGCGGGGAGCTCAGGCCTGCTGCAGACTGAGGCTGCTTTGTGTCAGCCTCCCCTGCCCTACCCTGCTGCTGCCTCTAATAGAAGCAGCAGCACAGTCGAGGCAGGGGGGAATCAGCTTTTAAAACAGCTCCCCCCAGCACTTACTCCTGCTCTCCCCCCTTACTGCATTTGATACAGAGGCAGCAAGGGGACAGGGATCCATGTAGTCAACAAGATTACCTGATAAGCCTAAGCTTACCAGTAAATCGTATAGTCAACTCTACGTTGACATCCCCTATGCTGGACAATTACTTTGTGATTATTCAGTTCCATTGCATAATCTCAGTGGTCTAGATTTTGATACTTTTATTTATGATAAATATCCCCCTACTCCACAAGTGAGAAACCACTCATTCAACTATAGCTTGAATATTAGAACCTGGAACTTTCTTATGGACAAGTGAGTCAGATCATGAAACCAAATAATTATAACTTTGACATACACTTATTAAAACTTAAAATATTTGAAAGCCAACTTTCCAAGTAAACACCTTCCATGGAATAACTACTGCTTCTTCCACATGCTTTCATGTTGTTTTCTTTATTTTTCAGCAATTCACACTAGCTTTTTGAACTCCTATGGGTTATTGCAAAAGTGGAGCACAACTTTTGAGGTTAATGTAATACAGAGCATCCAGATTTTTCAGTCAAATTCTTTAGTTTGAGAGGCTACAGTTACTATTTAAGGGTATGTCTACACTACAGCGCTAATTCGAACTAACTTAGTTCGAATTAGTTAATTCGAACTAAGCTAATTCGAACTAACGCATCCAGACTAAAAAACTAGTTTGTTTTAGCGTTTTGCTAATTTCAACTAGCATGTCCACACAGAGTGGACCCTGAACCGGGGTTAAGGATGGCCGGAAGCAGTGCCGGCAGGGCATCAGATGAGGACTTAGAGCGTGGAGCTGCTGTCTCAGGCTAGCCGAGGGCTGTGCTTAAAGGGACCCAACCCCCACCCTGGACAGACAGTTCTCAGGGGTGCCCTGCTTGCAAAGCAGTCCTGGCTTGGATTGCCCGGAGTACCCACACTGGGCACATCACAGCACTCAGCCATCAGACCGGCTGCACTTGCCGCAGGCTGCCATCTGGGGAGAGGGGGCAATTGGGGGGCTGCAGGAGAGGTTCCACCCCCAGAAGCCCACAGAGCCAGCCCAGTCCTCCCCATCGGGGGCTCGTACCCCATTCCTCCCTCACCTCCTTCCACTTAACCTTCCCTAGCCCCCCTTCCTGATGTACAAAATAAAGGACAATTGTGTTCAAAAATAGAATGTCTCTTTATTGAACAAAACTGGGGGAGACTAGGAAAAGGAGGTGGGAGAGG